AAAAAATGCACTCTTCTAGTTCCTTTCTGCTCCAGGGTCATTGCATGGCCTCATGCATATACCTAACTAAGGTGTCAGGATGGGATTGGGGAGAGGGAGGGCCCAGTGGAACATGGGGTAGAGGATTCTTGGGAATGGTGTGAAAATATACATCTGATACTCCCAGAGAAGTTACAATAGTTTAAATCTGCTTTATTTCAATAAATATAATATGAAAAAAAATAAGGTTCAAAATAAACTACCTTTCGGGACAAGAATGAGAAATATTTAAATTTAATATATCTAAAATATTTTCATCTCAAGCAACTGCATAATTTATATTTTCCAATGAATTGAAAGAAAGGTGTATTTAGTACTTAAGCTACTAACGTCTTTATAAATGATTCTTCTGTGCATAAATTGCTAGGATTTTTAATGATGAAGCTAATTACCTAATTAGTAGATAATGATCCAAATGTAAAAGAAAAGAATATCCAAATATTTTGAGGTGAACTATATTACTTGAAGAAAACTTATAAAGAATGTGTATAACTCCATTTTATACTAAATTTGAGATATTGAGGGATATATAATTTTTATTAATTTTTATCTGATTCTCAAACTTAGGTTGGTACAGTGAAGAGCTGCATTATACATTGATATGAAATGAATTAAAATTACAGTAAGATCCGACTACATGCCTTGTCACATTGTTATGAGAGAGAAACTAAAATGTCTCCCTTTAGGGGCCTTTATTTGATTTTACTTTGCCAATCACACTTGATTTTCAGTTGTACTTTCATTATGCCCATCTTACAAAAAAGATATGAAAAGCTCCAAAAATTTAAGTAATTTGCTTAACATACCAACCAGTCAGTTTGCCTGTGACTGCCTGTAACTTTTGTCAGGAGAGGTCTGCCCCACCATGTGGATCACCGCCAGGGCCGGAGATCGAACTCATGTGGAAGTGGCTTTAGCTTTTCAGTGTTGTGCTTTAGCCTGCTACACCACCAGGGAGGGCCTGCCTATAACTTTTCAAGAAGTTTTCAGACTTGTGCTGAATACGAAGGTGTAGATAGCTGCAGGACCTCGTTTTACTTCTCTTTTTACTAGAGTGAGTCCATCTTGTATGTGTTGATTGCCAGTTTTCTTCTTTAAAAGACATTTTCTGCTCTTTGGTTCTCATTATCACTTCTACCTTTTGTGTCTCATCTCTACTACTTAGCGTTCTTCTCTCTTTTTGAAGATAATTTTCATGTTTCTAGATTTTTGTCAGGATACCTCCAAATAATGAAAAAAAAAAATCTTGTTGCCTTATGACTAGTCCTATAATCAAAGTAATTTCAATTTCATCTGAAGAGCTTTTGCTTTCTGTGTGTTCTGGTAACTAGTTGCTGGACTGTTGTCTAGGTGGTTGGTCCTGTGATTTGTGTTTATTGTGTTTATTGACAGGGAGTGTGAGACCCAGAGCCTCTTTGGGACCTTGAGAATTTGAAAGACAGGGCCTCAAGCTTCTCTATTTTTATATTTCTATCTAGGAGACATAGAACCCACCTTTTCTCCCTCTCAATCTTAAGGTATAAAATTTTTTGTTATGGCAGAAACCTCCACATGGGTTCCAGAAAAAAATGAAGCTGGAGGTCATAGACAAAAGAAACCCCATCTTTATTAGAGTAGCAACAGTTGCGGACACGGATGATCACCGAATAAAAGTAAGTGCTCCCTGTTGTGGTTTTGTCTTGGTTTTTCATTGGAAGACATCTTGGATGTAAATTTGAACCGGTATTAATGACTGTGTGTATTTTTTAGTCAGTATTTAGGGTTTTTTTCCTTTTCTCTAATGAACAAAAGTTTTCTCTTTAGTTATGACAGGCTTTTAATATGTCATATCTTTCTCCCGTAAATATATATTCAAATATTAAATTAGTCACAATTAAAGAGAAAACCTCTTACATAGATCGTTCTTCTGAATATAATGCCACGTCCTCCAATAGTGTGTTTTTTGGTAAAAATGGAAAGCTGATCTTTTTTTAATTGAAAGTTGATATTTTTTAATGGGGTATATTAGAAATAGACTTTTTAGAAGATATCCTGTGTTTTTAAAGTAGGACAAGTGAAGAAAAATAACTTTTACAAGTAAACTCAGGTTTTATTTGGAGTTGGGTTAATAAAAGTCAAGTACCCTTTTGAAGTGAGGAAACATTTAGGAAGATGGATTCAGTTTTTTTACATTCAAATATGATAAAGTGTAATCACAGTCCCAGGTGGTAAGTCAGAAGTTCTTGTCTATTTCTGGCTTCAGCTGAACACTTTCAAATCAGAGCAACACATATTCTATTCCCATAGGTTCATTTAGAATTTCTACTAGGGATAATAGTAGTTAAAACAATAGCAAGGCATTAGACATTTGTGGTGTTTAAATAGGGGAGCAATGTTTTCATTATTTGACATTTGTGGCAGTAACAGTGTGGGAGACATACTCTCAATGAAGCTGAAGCACAGAGTGATTGAGTTATTTATTAGTTGCAGACAGTGGCAGAATTTGGTCACAGTCCTAAACTATAGAAATCTAAGTGTATGCTCTTTTGTAAAAAAAAAAAAAAAAAAAATTGTAACCTGAAAAACCTGGCATTCTATAAAATAGAAATTAAACATTTCGTTTATTATTTTTAAGATTTAATCAGTATGTAGCATTTTAGAAAATTCTGTAAATAATAGAAGCCTCTGTTAACATTTTAAAGTGTATTATCCTGTTAAATATCCTTGTTAATAATATGAGGCATAAAACAATGTTTTTAGACTGGAAATATTTTTTAAGTAATCTGACCTAGTAATCAAAGATGTATGGAATTAAGCAAGACATTCATCAGATTAGTGAGAATTAAAAATATATATACTTGTTTTGGTTTAGGTGCATGAAAAGTTTTTTCTCCTGTATCGCAGGTGGGGGTAGAAGCTGTCCCAGTCATTTCTGGAAAGTACTTTGGATAGACATCAAAAGTTTTGGAATGTAGCTTACTCTTAAATTCAAGAATTTCAGTCTTAAGAATTTATGTTAAGGGAATAACCAAAGGGAATATGCAAAGATAAAAGCGACACAAAAATACAGCAGTGTTTTTATTGGGAACACCACAGTGGAAGATGGGTAAAAAAAAATCACTGTATATCTATATGGTCTTAAAACTGATCCTTTTAGAAGAAAATTTAATATTGGTAAGTGAAAGGTGAAGACTGACAATTATGTATGTTGTCTGGAACTGGAAGACTTGTTCGAGCAGTTTTGGAAAGTAGCATAGCAAGATGATGGCAGGTCTTTTCTGAGGGCCTAAGGGCAGTAAAAGTCTAGCCTTTTATTCATCAGGTTTTAGAGACATATTATTTCTATACTAAAGAAAATTTAGTTATTCTCTGATTTTATATTTGAGAAAATTTTATCCAAGAGAGGCTAATTACTCTGAAGTGAATGTTTCAGTTAGTTAATGGAAAAACTTTAGAATAGAATCCAGCTCTTCTTTTACTAGCTGAATTCCCTTCCCATTACAAGATCTTGCTCAATTTCTTAGCATTCCCCAAAGAGCCTGCTGTAAGGTGTATAGTTGACAATCACCTTTTCCTAATTGCTGGAATGAATTCCATCGCTCAAAGTATTGAACAGATACCCGTGTGTTTATGAAGTCATCAAATGTCAGTGAAATGTAACAGTGACCCAGTTTTAGGATTCATCAGACACTTCCAGAATATAAAAAGCTTTCAGCAGTGGGAATTTTTTGAATAAGTGGGAGATGGCATAGTCAGTATGCTTATTTTTCTTTTTCAGGAAGGATGAAGAGGAAAATAGAGAATAACTGATTAATGTACCTTAATAGTTCAAGTTTCTCAGTAAAATCACATCTAAGTCAAATCAAATCTAAGTTAACTCTTTTAATTGAATAATGTATATAGTTCATATGTTGAGCTACAGCAAGTAAAATTTTGAACACTTCCGTATATTTCATCAGCTGTTGTTAAAGAAAAATGATCAGACTTTTTGCTCAGTTGAGACAATTAGGACCTTTCCGGTCCCAACTATCACCCAAGTCTGGTCCCCCAGTGGCAAAAACATTCAGCTTTAATAGCTGTTGCTTATTCATAATGTTTGAGCTCCAATTTTCTAGAATTCTGCTATTTATCAATCCATCAGTTTTAAATATCTCCTTCCTGTTGTGGTAGTTCTCTGACAAGTCTTTTGTTAAAAAGGTCAAGTGTGTTTTTACATTTTCTGTCTGTATCTTTCTTTTCCCTTGAAGTTTTCTCCACAGCTTTGACTACCAAATATTCTAATGTGGTTGGTTCCAAGCCCTGTACAGAGCTTTCATCCTGAGGCTTCTTTGCTAACAGACTGTGTGGGATTTCATTTTTTCCTGTATCTCATATTTTTAGAGTGTCCCTTTAACTCGTTGAAACATGCTTTTGCAACTTTCTAAGAAATGGCACAAAAAAAAATGTACAAAATGATGTAAAAATAAACTTATAAAAAAAAATGGCGCAAAAGAAGCATATTTTGCCTCCTTGCATATCTGACAATGTCAGCCTACTAGTTTTACACATGATTCATGCTGTGAGTAGGTATAGAATTCTGAATATGGCCTTTTCCCCTTAAAACTGAAAATCATCACTCTGCCATCCTCTCATCTGGGATGACTGAAGAACATTGTGATTCTTCACTAGTTGATCTACATTCTACATCTTTTATAGCTTTAGAGATTGGTGTCTCATTTACAAAGGCGATCCCATTTCAGATTACAATCACATTCATTTATGCATTCTTGAACTTCTATTTTTCAGTTTTCAGTGTTTGAAATTTTTACCCATATGGTATCTATTATAAGGAATAAGATAATCATAGACGTTAAAAAGGAAATTTTACCGGCAAACTTGCTTTAAAAGTAAAAACATATATATACAGCTATATACAGCATTTCAGTAGATCCTTTCATTCTCAGAGATTAAAAAAAAATTGCAAAACTTAAAACATCATTGTATAAAACTTCTTTGAGAAGTATTGTGATTATTTACAAGAAAAATAAAATGTGTTTGATGGAGGGTAATTTCCTCCAATGAGTATATTTCTCATAAGGTATTGAAGGCTTTAAGAAGGCTGTTTTTTGGCACAGTACTAAGACATGACTTTAATATGAAAGATCCTGCAGCTTCCTGTTTCTCCCTTCCTGAGCTCCCTTGCTTGACTTACTCATTACTTTAGTGATTTTATTAGGTATTTGGTGTTATTCATTTCAAGATTTTATGTATTCAAGTTGCTGATAATATTGAGAGATGTACATAATATATCTAGAGAAGTATTGTCTAAAATACACCTTTGACAAGACAGTTTGATGTTAGGAATATGTTGAAAGCAGTTCAGAATGCTTTTATTCTCATTCTGTGAACGAAGTAATTTGAACTACTGGAATAATTTATTTGGTATTGAATCTGTATGAGTTAGAAGAGAATGAAAATGGTTGCTATAGGCAGAACTTTCACTGAAAGGATTTTTTTGTGTTGTAACTGTTAACTTCTCTGTTCTGCAGGTTCACTTTGACGGTTGGAATAGTTGCTATGATTACTGGATAGATGCAGATTCTCCTGATATTCACCCAGTGGGCTGGTGTTCAAAAACTGGGCACCCGCTTCAGCCTCCTTTGAGTAAGAGACCCTACAGATAAATAAGCAGTGACATTATCCTGCATAGCATGCTTCATCATTTCTTTTCCCCTACCTCTCTCTTTCTCCTTCTTTCTCTAATGTGTACATTTTCTCTATGCAGTCCTTTTTTTAACCACATGTTTAATTACTTGGTAGTCAAAGTATAGAAAAAAAATGATGTCTGAAATTGCAGTGTGTATAGACTGTAGTGTTGCTTTTATATAGAAGTAACCACCACCTTTTAAAATTAGTACTGAAATTTTGCATTTGACATTTTTCTCAGACTATCACAATATATCAATGTCAATGTTCATACTGTGATTTTATAGTACAATTTTGAAAATATTTCCTCCAGGATAAACTGGGCAAAGAGTACAAGTTATCTCCCTCTATATTATTATTTACAACTGCTTGTGAATCTATAATAATCACAATAAAATTTTCAGCTAAATTAATTTTTTTCAAAAGGAGCCCTGAAAACTTGACTTACCATATCTCAGTGTTGAAGGAAAATTAATATTTGACTTTCCCAGGCTTCTGGTTTCCTCTTTGCTCTCCGTTAGAGTTTCTGTTTATCTGTTTGTTTGGCCTCTTTATAGGTCCCTTAGAATTGATGGAAGCATCAGAACATGGTGGATGCTCAACTCCAGGGTGTAAAGGGGTTGGCCATTTTAAGAGAGCGAGGCACTTGGGTCCTCACAGGTAAGTGGTCCTACCACTCACGTGAGTCAAATAGAAAGACTATACATATATGTGGAAAATGCTGATTGCCATGTACAGTAGGCCCTCAGATAATGTTATTTCATTCAGTGTCATTTAATTATAATGTCAGCGAGGAAAAGTCAGTCCCTGCCCAGGAGCTACAACTGTGTGGAATTTGTATATTCTTCCCTTGTCTTCCTGTGTTTTCTTGCTGTAGTCTGGTTCCCTCCCTCATCCCAAAGGTGAGCATGTTAAGTGTGCTGGTGTGCCGACTTTGTCTCAGCTGAGTGGTTGTGGGTGCATGTGAGTTTGCCCTGCATTCTGGATGGACCCTGGCCTTATGACCTGAGCCGCTGGGATAGACTTTGTCCTCTCACAACCGAGACTGGAGTAAGTGGGATGAAATACAGAATTATTGTTTAAAATCCAATGTGTTGGTGGGTCTTTATTTAGAAGTTTGGTGATTTTTTTTCTGACCAGAAATGTGCCTTCGGAACTTAGCTCTCATCTATCTGAATTAGCCTTTAACAAAATTGTTTTGTTTCACTAAAAGTGGCAGTTTCTCAGAACCTATTAGTGATATTAAGTGAGGGCTGACTGTGTACAAAATGGATGTGAACTGATTTTAAATTCACCGTGGGTATCATGTGATCCTGTAAAAGGGAAGAGTCTGTCTGTCCTTAAATCTCCTGGCAGAAAGCACACTGTAGGTTCAAAATAGACTTACTCCAACTACTTGACTTTTCTTGGTAAACCGACTAGTTTTGCAGATACTTAGGCTCTGAAATAGTCAATGGAGGTTGACCACTTGTAATGAGAAGAGGACATAAAAGTATTCGTGTAGTAGAAGTCTATTATTCACTTTGAATAATAGTTTGAATAGTGAGAGGTAAAATTATTGTAGATGAGCAACAAAGATCACAGAATGCAAAAGTATAAATAGTCAAATATGACGACGCATTGGTCGTAAAATATATTTTTTAGCATTTTTCTCTTACCCCTAAGTAACTTTAAAAAGGAAAGAAATTTATACAATGAAATTTGATGCATTGTTTAATTGATTTGGGGTCTTTGTAGGCATCTTTAAATGCTACTGAAATGTTAAGAATCCCTGCAATTTACCTGGAGTTTGTAAAGAAAGTTAGCATTTACTTAGGTGTAAATAAAGTAGTTATTAATCATTGTAAATGTTCTAGCTGCATATAAATTGGATTGCTCAGTAAGAAAAATGATTCTTTCTTTAACTTATTCGTGCAGGTTCTGAATCTAGGTCTTTAAAAATTCTAAAGATTACACAACCTGTTCCTCCAGAATTAGTGGGGATTGTAAAATGGATGCTATATTTCTCATTTGGATTTGGTTTCCTCTTTCTTTCATCACTGCAACCTCAAATGCTGCTTATCTTCCCTTTGCAATACACATCCCGAGTTCTTTATGAAATTCAGTATGTTCCAAAGTAAAAAGTCTAAACATAGACAGGATGACGATTCTGTTTGCAAATAGCATTAAAAAATCCTTTTCACTGTTTATATGACTGCAAACTAAAATGTAAATGATTCATTTAAACTAAATTTAAAATATTGCCTCTTAGAAGATACTCAATATTGCTGAGAAGGCACTGACTTAATTTTCAGCTATTATATAGGTATAAATGCCAAAGTGAGCTCATTGGCTGCTAAACTGCCACTACATATTCCTTTCCTTCAATAGTTTTTTTTTTCTTCTTCAGTAATAGCTAACATTTATTGAACATGTGTTTACTCACTGAGAAGATTTGTTCTAATTGTTTTCCATGTATTGGATAGCATTAAAACAACCTTATATGACAGAACTATTATTTTCTCCCAATTTTTGATGAGGCCACTATGGCATTGGGGAGGTTTGCTAACTGGACAACTCTGGGGGGCCGGGCGGGGAAATGGTGTAGAAGGGAGCTGGGCATGGCATTCTGTCTCACTCAAGGGCCTGTGTTCTTGACCACTCCCCTTCTGCAACCTCTCAAGTCATGGATTTTATCAATTAGTCACAGAGAAACCCTCAAAGGACCTACGGATTGATCGAACAGTAAATATTGTACATAATTTAGTTAAAATATTAGATACAAATAGAAAATATTGTAAATATTATACAGTAAATATTGTACATAATTTAGTTAAAATATTAGATACAAATAGAAGCCTAATGTTGAAACTTAGCACATGTACCTTTCTATATACACCTCCAGAGCATTCATTGGATAAAGGGCAGTTTGCTCAAATTATGAAAGAAGAAGAACAATCAATTTAAGAGATGGTAAATTCTGCATTATGTTGTTAGGGTGCAATTAGAAATTTAAATTTTTGGTTTTCAACCTTTTGCAAGAAAATCCACCTCACAGTAACTCACAAAGGCTTGCCTGTCATAACAAGGTCTGTGGTGACAGTCCTGCCCCTACCCCCTGCCTGGAGGCATTGACCACTCACCACAACTATCCTTCTCCAAATGAACTGTGGATCTCCACTGAGCCATACACATGTCACAAAGTTTCAGTCATTATCTCTGGAACATTTCTTTTCTTTTTTTTAAATTTTATTTATGTGTACAAAAGTGGGCTACACACCAGTGGTGCAGGGGTGGTGAGAGGGTTCACCAGAGACAGAGTGGGGAGCAGAACAAGCAACAATGCTGAGGGCAGCAGTGGGCAAGACAGGAGAGGTCTGCTGTGCCATGTGGGTGACCTCCCTGGCCAGGGATCAAACTTGTGCTGACGGGGCTGCAGGTAGCTTCTCATAGTGCTGCTCTTTAACCATTTATGCCACTGAGAAGGGCCCTCTCTGGAGCATTTCTTTTTTTTTTTTTTTTTTTTGTAAAGATTTATTTATTTGTGCATACAGAACTGGGGTACAGGCCAGAGGCTCAGGGGCGGTGAGAGGCTTCACCAGAGACAGCGTGGGGAACAGAACAGGCAGATGGATGAAGTACACTGCTGAGGGGAGCAGCGGGTGGGTCAGGAGAGGTCTGCCCCGCCATGTGGTCACCTCTGGGGCAGGCGGGAATCAAACTCCGAACTCATGCGGAAGTGGCTTCAGCTTCTCAGTGCTGTGCTTTAACCCCCTGCGCCACCAAGGAGGGCCTCTGGAGCATTTCTTAAAGATGCAGTATTGTAGTTGCTAAAAGAAGGGACACGTTATGGGAAGAACATGAAAGATTTGTGAAGAAATGTGGTAAGGAAATCTTTCAGTAGAGAGAATCATTTTGTTGGAGTGAGAGAAGTAGAACTTACAGCTTAAAGGACATGCATTAAAAAAGAAGCTGAGTTCATTCCTTGTCTGTGCTTATCTCTGGGGCAGGGTTATTGGTGGACCAGCGCCTCTGAGGAGAGCGTATAGTGCAGAGAACTGTAGGCAAGCCCCTGCCAAGTCCTATCTCCCCTTCTTCTTAGTCCTTTCAACTAGCTTTTCTCCCTGACTATTCTGTCCTATTTACAACGTTTAAAGTTATTTATCTGGCAGGATATTAATCCTTAACAAGCACAGCCTGTTTTCCATTTCATTAGTAGATTTGTGGAATAGCTGCTGCATCATGGATATTCTCTAAAAGGTTCATTTCACTGGCACTTATTTTTGTCCTTGCTGAGAATGCTGTGTTTAGAAAAACATAATGAGAAAATTCTCTTTGGATTAATTTATAGAGAAACTGTATAAATCAAAACATGCATTCTTTGCTTTAACAAGGAAAGCTGCTCTTTTAGCAAGAATAATCAATTTCATGAACACATAAGCAAAAGTGTATGTTTTGACTAGTGTTTGTTGTTAGCTTCTCTGAATTACAATAGTAATTTTCATCTAAGAAATGTTAAAGAACATATTTGCAAAATGGAATTTGCAAATATGATGTTTTTTAAAATATTGAAATATAAAGGATGTGTGAGTCGCACGTGTGGATATGGTATGCTCCTCTCTAGGGGTATTCAGTAGGCAAAGTGCTTAATTCTGGCTTCTAGCAAGAAAGTATTAATAGGGTCTTCCTGGTGGTACAGGGGTTAAGCCTTAGCGCTATGAAGCTATGACCAGCCTCTTTGGCCTGAGTTCGATCCCAGGTCAGGAAGCTGGCCCACATGGCCAGCAGACCTCTCCGGTCTTGCTCGCTGCTCCCCTCAGTAGTGTATTTCAGTAGATCCGCCTGTTCTGCTCCCCACTCTTGTCTCTGGTGAATCCTCTCACCACCTGTGCACCTCTGACATGGACTCCAGTTCTTAGGTGCATAAATAAATAAAATCAATATTTAAAGAAAAAAGAAAGTATTGATATTAGTGTGTCATGATTGACTCATTTGTCCTACTGATATATCAAAGAGTGAGAGGAGATTTAAGGAGAACTAGAATTATATAAAAGTAGATATTCTGCATACCTTTTGAAGTATATTTTAGAAGTATATTTTCTGTCTGTAAGTTTTGGAGAAATTAAATATGAAAAGGAAAGAGAGTAAGTACTTCCAATAATCTAGAAAGGATATTTATGAAGTCCCCTGGGAAATTTTAAAGCTAACAGCTCTGGATGCATATGTGCAAACTATACAGCCACCATATTAATTCAGCATCCGTAGATCATCAAAACACTCTCCAGTGCCTGCTCTGTGCCAAGTGCTTGAGGCAAAGACCAGGCCAGGAAAGGAGCCCCTGGGGTAAACAGGGCGTTGTTGCAGCACAAGTAGAGCAGCACAGGAGAGATGCCTGAGCTTTTCCTGCGGGAAGGAGGGAGCCTTCATACATGAGGCATATTATGAGCTTTTTTTGCTCTGTTCATTTTTGCTGATGCTCTTTTTTACTCAGCAGAGGTTATTACTCTTTTCCTTTTTAACGAATAATACTCAGTAAAATTGGTTGATGACTTCCTCTGTTCAGGTAATATTTTGGGACTTAACTTTGTTATCTCATTTAATCCTCACAAGAGCTCTATGAAGCAGGCACCGTTCTAATCCCTGTTTTTACAGGAGAAAACAGGCTTAGCATGGAGTGCTAAGTGCCCAAGATCAGATAGCGGCAAAGCCAGGATCAACACAGGTTCCTATGACACAGCTCTGTTCTTCACTCCTAAGCCCTCCTCAGAGCACAGAGGCCTGATAGAGCTGCCTCATGATTTTTCTTTCTTACAGGTGTTTGTTGTGAGAGACACTGAGAACGACTATGTGAGCACCTAAAAGCCCAGGGTGTTGCCAAATTGTTTAAAGCAATGGATTTACAATGAAAAGGGTTTTGAAGGTGGCAGTGAGCAGTGAACACGTGATCCCTTCCACCTTTCCTGATAAGCTGGTCCAGTGTTTAATAGGGAAAGCTGCTGCCTTAGAGAAGCCAATAGAGCACGTACTGGTATAGGTAGCCCATAGGGAGTTGTTTGCTAAACAGGGCGCCCCTGGTAAATACCTTACATTAGAGAGCTGTGTTATCCTATGCAAATCTTTTCCTCTGTATTCCTGAGTTCAGTTCCTGAGGCACTGAATACTTGGACATTGTGGAAGTGTGAGTATGTACATATGTGTATACTTGTTACAAAATGTACATTATGTGATGTATCTCACCTGACTTGTGCTTTTATTACTAGAAATTTAGTACATGAGAAACCATAAATGATTATAATTCTAATGGGAGCCTGCTGCTTCCCAGGAAACATTATTTTATTTTTATCTTTTATTATTTTTAAATATATATATATATATTTACATCACTCTCATTTTTATAACAGTTTGCTCTTTTCTTTTTCCCCTTCAGGTATAGTCCCCTTAAAATTTTCTCCTCCAGTTCCAGTTCACCCAATTATTACCACCCTTCTTCACCCTTGCTCCACCCCCCTTCTTCCAATCACTTTACCTCCCTCTCCCTTGCAGGATGTCTCTGGTTTATAATTGTCTGTCTGTTTCTGTTTTGGTTTGTATTGTTATTTTTCCCCCTGTGTCTTATTTGGTTCCTCTACATTCCTACTATAAATGAAACCCTCCAATAGTTTTCTTTTTCCTCTGACTTACTTCTCTCAGCGTGATCCCTTCTAGCTCCATCCATGTTGCTGCAAATGGCATGAGTTTATCTTTTTTGATTGTTGAATAGTATTTCATTGTTTATATACCACATCTTCTTGATCCAAACATCTATTTTGGGGCATTTGGGTTGTTTCCTGGTTTTACCTATTGTAAATAATGCTGCAATAAACATTGGAGTACTGGTATTCTTTTGAATCAATGGTTTTGTGTCCCTTGGATAGATCTTTAGGAGTAGAATTCTGTCATATGGTAGTTCTGTCTTTTGTAGATTGAGGAAACTCCACACAGCTTTCCATAGTGGTTTCACTAGTTTGCACACCCACCAGCAGTGGAGGAGAGTTCCTTTTCACCACTCCCTCACCAACATTTGTTGCTGCTAGTTTTTTGGTATGCACTATTCTTACAGGTGTAAGGTGCTATCTCATGGTGGTTTTGATTTTCATTTCCCTGATTATAAGGGATATTGCCCATTTTTTCATATGCCTGTTGTCCCATATGAATTTCCTCTTTGGAGAAGTGTCTTTTAAATTATTCTGCCCATTTCTTGACTAGATTGTTTATTTTTATTGAATTGTGTAAGTTCTTTGTATATCTTTGTGTTCAGTCCCTTATAATTTGTATGGAAACATTTAAAGAGCTACCCATGATGTCCAAAAGAGACATCATCATTGGAGATAGCTTTTCCATCACATTATTGCTAAATCAATAAAATGACTGAAAACATTTGCTCCATTCACTGAGCTACTTTGGTACTTCGTGGCTATGAGCAAACATCCTCTGTAGGATATCTAATAACATTCCATAGTTGCTTATGTTGTCCTCAAATCTGCTCTTCTCTAGTCCTGTTCAACTCAGAAGGAAAAAAAAAGGTACCCAAGTGATTGTTTTTAAATTATAAATCAAACAACATCCTACCCTTAGTTGAAGGTGTTTCAATGTATTAAAATCAAATTTAAACTAAATCTATGAACTCAGGATATTATAGCCATGAGATTGCACATAATGCAGCCTAATCCTGACTCCTCTCCCCTTGCCTCTATCTCTAGTCTAGATGATCTTTCCCTCAGATACTGCTAAGCCTTTCCTGCTTTCCCCAATCCCTGTAATGCTCTTCCCTCCCTTTGATGGAGCTGTTTTCTCCCTGACCTTGAAAGTACTGCTCCTATCTACTTCATCCTCACTAACCATCTTAGCTCCACATTCTCTCTATCATATTCTTCTGTTCTTCATGACACTTGTCATTATATGAAGGTGTCTGACTTACTTATTTGGGGAATTATGTTTTTCTCATCTTCCCTTAGAATATCAAATCCATGAGAACAGAGATCTTATCTTATTTTCCACTGTGGTTTCAGTGTCTGCACATATAGGTAGCATGTAAGGATACCTGATAAATGCTCATCAAACAAGTGAATGAAATAACTAAAGACTGAATGGGGGTCACTTACCAGTTAAACCTTAGTTTGTCACATGAAAACCTTCCTCATAGACTGTTGTGAAGAGTCGGTAAAACCCTACATGTAAAAAACATTTAGCCTTAGCACAGTACTTGATATGGAAGTATCCCATAAATATTACTGCCTATTGTTCTTGTTATTATTGAAGTACGTTATCCACAATTATGCCAACATGTCACCAAATGTTATTAACTTTTTTCTTTTTTATAGCTATCCATGCTATAGCATATAAAGAAAATCAAGGTTGCATTTTTGGTTACAATATATCTGTGTTAAGTTTTATAGGCCATTATCAGAATCACTTGGGAGCATTGTCAGACTCTTCACTCTTTCTCGTAGAAGGCTGTGTCTCACAGGCAGATGTGCACTGTTTAACAATTTTCCTTAAGAAAATAAGTAAATAAAAATTTTCCCTGGGTGATTATCAACATTCCCACTGTTGCCTAAACTGGGGGGTGGGGGGGTGGGGTTGGGAACACGTACCACACTGACAGAATTTAACTAAGGTTCACTTCCAGGTTTAAGGAGGTTTCCTAGAATCAAAGGGACAGTGTAGACAGACAGTTGGAGGAGCAGATTGTGTACTCAGACTTGAGAAACATGGCTTGCTCTGTTGTTCCGGAGCCTAAAAAGCTGAGTGCACTGACTTGATCTTGAATTAACTATCAATGACCTGAATTTCCATCCCTTGGATAACTGATTGGTTCTCAAGTGGGACCTCAGAGACCAACCAGTGGTCACTGATGGAAGAGAAGGGAGTTAGATGGGCCAATATCCAGTTTGGCCTCTGGTACCTTTTCATTATAGGGACAGGACTGTCCTTAGGATGTCAAGTGTCCATTGGACCTGGAGGTAGGAACATGGGGCAGCCTCCTTCCTGTTGGAGGGCTCTAGCTTATATAAAGGAGATTATGCTTTGACATCACTGGGCACAGGGGATCACCATGTCATCACTGGGCACAGAGGATCACCTTCTCTGTCCGACTCTTGTCTTCAACCCTCCTATAAAGTCTGAAGCATTTTTCTTGTAGGCTCATTGTTTCTAGAGATAGCCCAGCTCAGGACTTGGAAAATGCACAGATAATCCTCCAGTCTAAAGGTTGCATCTGTTTGCCTCTAATTTTCCAGTGCAAAGACATATTTTTTATTAAAGATAAAATAGCTCATAATATGTGTTTATTCACACATGTAGATGCTTATAAATATATTTAACATTCAGTTAAATTTTGAAACTATACTATGTGGCCTGTGCTTCTAATGGGAAGAAGTGAATACGTTATAATGGTAATGTTCTTTTCTTTTATCTTCCACTCTTTTAGTGCTGCCAACTGTCCCTATTCAGAAATCAATTTGAATAAAGACCGCATTTTCCCAGACCGCTTGAGTGGTGAGATGCCTCCTGCTAGTCCCTCATTTCCAAGAAATAAAAGGACAGATACTAGTGAAATCTCTTCATCTCCTGACATCAGGTAATTAAAGGAATAATATTAGTGTTGCTTGGAAGTACTCAGGTTGGAAGAGGTTTTCTCTTTTAGATGTGCTGCATTTGTGGTAACATTTTCTTATACATTATTGAAAATCCACCTGATAGGAGGTGAAATGAAGGTTAGGGTCATTACTTACACTTAAAATAATTAGGCAGAAAGTTTATAAAAAGCATGTCAAAATCGTCAGGCTTTATTCTTGCTTGTTCATTTTGTATTTGAACTTGTGTGGTTAGACTGGGAAATTTCAGCCATTTTACTTCATGCCAGTTCATATATCTGGTCAATATTTATGTAGAGTCATCTTTTATAAGAAAATGACAGACTCCTCATTATTTCCCCTTAATGCTCATTATATGTCAAGTTTGATGAATTCTGACCTGTGTTTACTTCCTTGTGAATTAATATATTTATTTATATTAAATTTCTTCAATGATACGCCATATCCTTGGGTGCCAGTATTTGGCAAGTGAGTTTTCACGTTCTTGTTCATGGTTTTAAGGATTTTGTCAAATTTCTTATATTCATCTTTCCAAATTGACTTTTGATTCTCTAGACTTAAATTTATTTGTTTGTGTGTGGCTAGAAAAAACCTGAGAGATTTGATTAATTATATGGCGTCAGAGGACTCCCAAATGACTCCCAAATTTTTAACTTATTACATAGAAATATTCATAAGAAAGATTACAGATGGCATGATATCCTAACCTAAATGAGTTACTGTACATACTGAAAAATATTTTCCAAAATGTTATACTTTGAATGGAATACCATTAAATTCAGATTATGTCTCTCTATTCTCAATAGTTCATGTGAATAGAATCTCCTTTTCAGGTTTTAATGCGTCTTCTTTGATCCATTCCCAGTAATTTACTAAAATATAGTTAACAGTCTTGATTAGTTTATAAGAAAAAAATGCATTTGGCACAGTAAGAGTTTATACCTCCACAAAGGAGACTGTGCGACTGAGTTGATTGTGAGTAGCTACTTGGGAGATGAGCAAAAACATCAATAGCAGAGTGAGGAAGAGTCTGGGAAGGAAAGGCAGTTGGCAGAAGCTTCAGGCCACACTGTTAGCATCATAGCCAGCAGGACGTGAGTCCTGCAGGGAGCATTCTGGAAGTGTATGTCGAATCCTAGGGATGAGGGAGCTGAGCTATTCAGACATCAGTTACCTTCACCCAGTAACAAAATGAAATGTCTAGGGGTTAAAGGACACATTATTTTCCTAGCACACCTGCTACACAGGAGTGAAGCAGCCAGAGTCCAGGCTAATCCTGTGGGGAAGCAGGGCAGGTGAGGAAGGGGAGGGTTGGCTGATTTGTGCTGAAGGGGCAGCAGCTGGCGGAGGAGGGGGGCTGGTACTGACAGCGTCTGCTACACCATCTCATTCCCGGTCAGATGACAGACAGCCACACGAATGAGAGCTATGAGCCAGCTGACATAATGGGACTAGTTAAATTAACACATGTATCTTTTCATACTGTAAATACTTTTCAAGGACAAATTTACAGTCTGGCTGCTTGGGATAGAAACGTGGACACCTGATGTTCCATGGTGAGTCCAAACATGGTTTCACATTAGATTTTCTGGAAGCTTTTAAAATTCAGTTTGTCGGGCCAAGTCAAGCCACCAGAATCTTCCAGACAGGCATCCAGCTGTCCACTTTAAAAATTCATTTCAGAATGTTTCCCCTGCTTAAAACTACCAGAGATTTTCCATTGCTCTTAGAATTAAGAATGAATCGAATTCTGAACATGGCTGAAGCGTCCTGCATTATCTGGCCCCTTTCTAGCTCTCCAGTGTTTTTTTTATTTTTTTTTTATCAAGTTGGTTTTTTTAACTAAATGTCCAGCCACTTGGTCCTCAAATATCCTCTCTCTCTGCCAAGAGCTTCCATCTCTACCATTTCCCAGCTGATCTGTCACCTTCAACTTCAGATCCCTCAAGGAAGCTGAGGAAGCGTCTGGTCTAGACTTCAGACACATTCCCATGCATGGGTCCCTGTCAGGCATTCCCACACTCACTGTTGGCGGCTTTGTGTGAACGTTTTGCCCAGTCTGTGTGCTTTGCTACCCCTGAGCCCCAGGAGCGCACTGACCACATCGCTCTGATTCTCAGAGTCCCCTCAGCATTGAGCACCCCTCCTGGCATGCAGTAAGGTGGAGAGCGTGACTCTATCAGTAGCTTTCTGGGGAGACATAGCCATTATATAGCCTAAGAGACACGAGTTATGTAACTTTTTGGCTCCGGGTCCACAAGGCAGAAGACTTTGTTTCAAATGTGAAGGAGTTTCTAAATCTACTTTCTCAATTTGATCTCTGCACTTAGCTGTCTAAGGGGTGATTATTAAATGATGAGGTAAACCCCGAAACTGCATTTTTGCCCTCTTGCTATTGGGTATCTCTGCGCTGTGTCTCTTACTGCATTTGCGGGGTCTCCTAGGCTACCAAGCCCTTTGAGTTTCCGTCCTCACCAGCCTACCTTCCTGAAGCCAGCTTTGGTCTGGCTTTGCTACTGTGTTATTGTGCTGTTGTTCTGAGCTTTGTACTCTTCACTGGGCTGGTGGGGGTAGCACACTCCGCAGCTCAACCTGTTTCTCAAGTAGGCTGATAATGGACTTGGTTTGGGGGGTACCCTGTTCCTGGCTGCCTCTATACCCATGTCTTACCTCCTCCTTCAAAAGGAGTGTCTGTGCTCTGCTTAGTGATGTCCATGTGCTGCTGCTTCACTCATGGGACCAGCAGCTTTGTTACTGCCCTTCATAGTGGCAGCAAGATGGTCAGACAGGGATTCAACCAACACACTAGTTTTTCTCAAAGGACTAGTATCATATATCTCTGCGTATTTATTTCTCTACTTTCTTTACTAATAAAACCATGGTCTTATTAAAGACCATGTAAAGACTTAATAAAACCAGTCTCACCAAACTTTTTTTTTTTTGCATCAGAATATCAGATGCTTGCTAAAATGCAGCTTTTGGGGTACCATCTAGAGATACCAGCTCAGTAATTAATTGTTGGGCACACCACAGTATACTTTTAGCAAGCATCCCTACTTGATAGATTCAAGTGATCTATAAGCCGGGCTTTGAGAACTGTTACTAAATGCAGACACCCTCTCTGGAGTAATAATTCACAGAGTATTTATTATCAATCGAAGAACATTAGGCACTTATGTCTTATAGTTTTGTCTTTGTGAAATCTATCCTATAGTTGCTTGCATTTATGTTTCTAAATCAGATACTCTTTATTAAAAAGAGTAATCATTTGTCTCTCCCCAGTGGCACAGTGTGTTAAAGCACAGCACTATGAAGCTCCTGTAGTCACTGCAGCATGAGTTTGATCCCCAGCCAGGGAGGTGACCCACATGGTACAGCAGTGGGTCTCCTGACCCACCCATTGCTCCTCTCAGCAGTGTATTTCGTCAGTCAGCCCGTTCTGCTCCCTGCTCTGTCTCTGGGGAATCCTCTCACCCCTGCCCCCACACCTCTGGCCTGTACCCCAGTTCTATATGCTTAAATAAATCTTTAAAAAAATCACTTAATCTTTTAAATTCCCATGTTGCTTAAGCTATCTTAGATCTAACCATAGAAACACTTTAAAATAACAGCCAAATGCTTACATTACCTTGCAAGGCAAATACCTCTTACTAACTTAAATCTATTGAAAAAAAAATCAGTCTATTTAGTTCATTACTTGCCACTAAAATGGCTTTTTGAGTTTAGCACTGGTGTTTCCACTCTGGGAATTACACAGAACATTTGCAGGAATTGCAGCCATCTATCTCCTTTATATTTTTAGGACAAATCAAATTTCACCACTCACTCTATTAAATAGATGGGAAAAACAAGCCGATACAAAATTTGAAATTATGCACCTATGTAAGTCTAATTACTTTGCAAGCCTATAACAGTTAAGTAAAATAAAATTAATTTAAAACCAAACATTCTGAAGATTTCAAAAGTTAGCGAGCAAAATCAGGAACTTTGGTTTGTCTCCTAAGGTTTCCTAGGCCTGAAGGTGTGGTGGTGCTGACTGGAGAAACTCAATTCAGTAGCTAGTATTCCATGACTACTGGGCAGCCTCTTCATTCTTTTCATCATTGGACTGCCAGTTATGGACTAGGAGCTGTGGAAGTTTTTACTTTTTCCAGCACTTAATAATCATTCATATCTAGACAGTTGTTTGTATGGGCTCGAAGGAAACTTAATTTCTGAGAAAACACCTGACAGTTCCAGTGCCAGCCACTATGACACCAGGGTGGCATTCAGGGCACAGGGAAGAGAGACTGTACTACCAGTATGTGCCCGTGAAGTTGTTGGAACAATATTGGACCAGGGTCTTATTTTGTCTCCTCAAATAGCACTAATTCCTGACCTAGGACACTTTTATATGTAGTAGAAAAACATTGACAATCTGTTCTTTGAACGATAACATCAACAAAGGAATGCAGTTTCATTCTTCAGACACAGTGACCTGTATTTCCCATATCTCTGTCTTGGTTTTTTTGGCTTTTCATTTCATAAGGGAATTGATTATTAAATAGCTGTACTAGTTTTTCTGCAGGGTTCTTTTCTGCAGGACTTGTTAATATCCACCCTACTTAATTGTCATGAGACTTATTTTCTTTACTAATACATGTTTCTGACACATCAAAATTTTGTAGGCTAATGAACCAAAAATGCTTTATTTTCAGTCATTAGATAAGTAGCAATCCATGTTTACCCTTCCTATTAAAACACAGTTAAACAAAACTCTTACCAATACATCATCCCAAAAGGAATTTAGTTTTAGAAACTCTATTTGTATGTTAAGCACAGTCACAGAAGTCTTACTCCCACTGGTTAAATTTGTCACTTCTGTGAGTCCCTTTGAAGGTGTCACCTCCTCATCCAGAAGCTGTGCTAGCAGTCTCCTCTTCATTTGTGAGAGGCATTTTGGAGAGAGTTTAAGGGCTCTTTTACAGCTTCCCTCACATGTACC